TTTGCCTCTGATGGGAGGCTGACCACAATTGATCCTCGACTGCGACTGTTTTTCTTCGATCGCTGGTGCTCCTTTCCATCATGTAGCCACTTGATTCGATTAATCACTAGGCCCGGAATTCGAGCCTTAGTTGCTATCTCAATCTCCCTGATGATGGCGTGGTATTGGGCATCTCTACCACCCTCAATTCGAGTCCGCAAAGGGACACCAGAAACCTCGACGGGAAAATCTTGCCGTAGAATCTTAAATTCGTTGGGTTGGCGCATGTTGAGCGCCGCGTCTCTCGGGGACGCCCACTGGACGAAAACCTCGGTATTGTTGCTCCGCATTTGACGAATTGCGTATGCACCTTGTATGTGCTCTTTTGCCTTTGAAAGCAGCTCTTGTGGCTGCAAGTTTTGGGAGCCGTCAATTCTTATCCGTACTGCTGTTCTTGTCATTTGCGGAGCCACGACCGACGCGTAACTCCTTGCTATCGGTGCGCCCGAAACCACTGCTGGTGCAGATTTCCGAGCGGGATCCGCGAGGCTTTTCTATACGACTTCCTCTAAAGCCATCATCCTCTCCTCGATAAAAGACTTCTTCTGGGACATTTCCGTCCAGGCCCTTTTGTGCGCGTTGAAGGCCTTCACGGCCTCGTTCACGTCCTCCATTGAGGGTAGGTCCTCCTCATCCATCTCTCCAATCACGATTAGTCTAACCTGTTTTAGTAAGTTCCCCAGGATTTCGAGGTTTCTATCCTTTGGAGCTATCTGCGCTCCGCTGCCGTTGTCGGATGATACCGTTGTCGCATCTTGCAACGCGTCGAAACCGCTGGATTTACCCACACCAGCACCCACACTCGCCATGTTGGAGCACGGAAAGCGAAAAGATAAAAGGAGGGTAATGAAGATGTAAAAATAATAATCACAATGTCAAGTTGATGATACGGGCAGCGTGGAACGCTGCGCAGCTTTCTGGCAAAAATGATGTTTTGTCAAAGCGACATAAATGGATTATTATTATTATTGGTAGGCCACGTTGTTGATACATACGTGACTACAAATTCTGTACTTAGTTTCATTTCGGTAGTTACTTGAATCAATGCGCTATACAACCTCAGTGTATGAGCTATCCTTTACAGTTTTTTTTGTATCCTATTTTCCGTCTGGGGTACAATGGATTTGACTTAAACTGGGCTACTAATAGGAATAGCCCTGGGTTGGATGGTGCAGTGGTACACCATCTGGGCTGTTCACCCAAGCAGATACTGGGTAGCTTGAACACCTTCCCCATCCGAGGCAGGAGAAAGCTGGTTCGGATCCAGTCTGAACCAAAAACCACACTCACTCGCGGTGGTATTGTACTGGTGAGATGATGAAAGCACACTCGGATAGCCACAGAGTTTTCACACTTTTCCCTGTGGGGGGTATGCACGGAACAGGTTATACGCCGTAAGGGTCGACCCCGAGTGGTATCTGCAAATGAAATCTGAGTGTGAGTGTTCAAAACGTCAAACTGAGACATCCTACTTAAAGCACATATCTTCCGATAAAACCTGCATCGGCCCCAAGGCGCCAATCGAGGTAAAATGAATTATATATAATGGGACTTGCCCTGCAGTTCCAGTTGAGCTAGCTCGTAATAGGTTAGACTGTCTATCCCCATTGCCCCGCTCGCCATCAAGTTTGCTCCAATCGTCTCTTTTAAGCAAGCAGCTAGAGTAACATATTTTCAATTATATCTATGACTGCCCATCCAACAAACCCCTTGATTTTTAAAATCCCCATCAAATCATCATCTAATCTAGCAAACAATGTCTCCCGAAAAGTCTGCTTCTGAAACCAAATTTCGCAAGCAGCTAACTCGCGACCAATGTATTGAAATGAAAACTTTTAGAAGACTTGGCTTTACATTATAAAATACAACCAACGAACTTGGCTTTACGACAAGGCAAGTACAACATGCGTTTGCTCGAGAGGTTGAAAATCATACATCTCATAAAGGACGCCTGCCAAAATTAACCGCGGAACAAGTCAAAGAGCTTGAGGCTTTCGTCCGGGAATCTCCTGAAAATCGACAGATGTGCTATTTTGAACTAGCAATGGGTCCTTTCAGCCACTGGAGATGCAGTGAGCGTTTACATTCTAATGACCTCAAAAAAAGAGGTTACAGCAGATGCATTGCTCGGAAGAAGCCTGTGTTAAGTGTTGTTAACATGCACGAAAGATGGGTATCGGTGATTAAGGCAAATAGAGGCTACACAAAGTATTGGGATGGAACAGACTAATACAAAATATGTAGTATGCTTTCATTCTACTTGTGAGCTATACTGAGGGCCTTGAAATATACTCTTATACTACAGTGCAATCATTTTTGAAAAAGATGTGTATTTTTAGATAATATCAATTGACACAAGAAATTGAAGAATGGACCAGAATTTGTGGCATGGAGAATGCAAAAGGGAGACAAAGATACCGGTAAGGTGGCCGCGTTCCAGGAGTGGAAAATCTCATGGATACGTCCAGCGAACGAGATACTATCTGGTCATCGAGCTTCGGCAGACCCTGAACATTGGGAAGCCGCAAATATTATTACAGATGAGACAACAGGTAGAAAAGGATCACATATGGAAACACACCCTCAGATATCCACCGGAACCTTAGTAGGGCCCAAAGCAGTATTGCAGTTCAGATAAGAATTGAGCACATTTGTCTCATTCTTATCTGTATCGAAGGAAAGTCCCCGGAGTGATTAATCCAAAATGCTAGTGTAGATATCCGTCTCAGAATGTCAAACACATGGTCTTGGCGCCTCTTCAGTGGGCATTGGCAAAAGGAGAGATGCTTCGAAAGGCAAAAGTTAGGTCATTTGTGGCAATTATGAACAGCCCAGATGATATGGAGAGAATTAAAAAATGGGTACTGGCAAAAGGTTGGTTTGAACAGTTCCGGTTTGCAGGAGAAGTAGAAATAGCATTGGACGTAAAGATGAGACGATGTGCACAAGGAAAGGACGGAATTCATACTGTATGAACAGTTTAAACGCGCTTCCTGTAGGAAACCCCAGAAAACCAGTAGACAAGTGACATATAGTTTTGGGGGGGTTATACCGAATCTGGGTTCCTCCTGTGCAAATATTATAACTAGATAAATCTGCATGAGCCCATAGAGTACCTGAACGGGCTAAATGAAATCAAAATATAAATTAATTTTTAATTTTTTAATTTTGAATTCATTTAGCCCTATTTGGCGCCCTATGAGCCCATGCGGGTGTATACGAGCTTTAATACATACAGAGGAAACTGTTGATACGGCATAGTATCGTATAAATTAAAAGTACAACGTTGCAACGTGGTGGTTAAATTGTGATTTCTTATTCTCTCTCTGCTCAGCCCGCAACAGTGAGATACCCTCATTTGCACGGGCTAATTATATCTAACCTAACTAGGCTTAGCAAACATCACGTGAAGCTTGATGTTGGATGAAGCTGACAACAGAAACCTTGCAGTAAAAACCCGTTAGATGTCTGATTGGACTCTACGCCATTATAGTCTTATCTCTAGGAAGTGCACTCACACTGTTGTTGCCAGTGTGGATTCCGTCCTTGTCCTGTGTATCCATTTTCCTCTCTCCGCCTGATTAACGCCTCGATTTCCCCGGTCATCCGAAACTGCTCTAGCCATCCTTCCTTTTTAATCCACTGCGCAATTCTGGTCATATCTTTGACGTTATTTACCATAGCTTCGAAGGATCGAGTTGTCGATTTTCGTAGCAACTCACCTCTTCCCTTTGGCCATCTTGGACAAGATATCACCATGTGCTTTATATTTTGGGACGGATATCCACATTGGAAGCTTGGTTTTCGTACTCCTGGCACATTCCTTCTGTATAAGCAAGTATTGATCAAAATGTGCTCGCTTCGTACTTGTGTGGCAATACTGCTCTGGGCCCTGCTAAGGTTTCGTAGGATTGGGATAGGTGACTCTCTACAGTTCATCATAAGTCTATCCGTTTTCTTGTCGTTATATTAGTTTGCAGCTTTCATTGATTTTTTTATTATTTTTTAATTTAAATGACGACCCACTTACCTTACCTTTTCTGTTGAAATATTTATTTGGTATTTCCCTCGTTATACAATCTTTTGCTAAGGCTTTTTACAAATATGTTCTCAAATCATCCTTAATTCCTAGGTTCCCCCTGACACATTATCCCAAGCCTTTAAATATTTTCTTCATTTCATTGCTCTTGTACTTATTAATGTTTGACTTATTCCTATTTACCTTTCGCTGACCCTGCCATTCATATCATAGAGTGGCTATTTTTTAATTGCATATTCTTTGATACGAATAAATCTGTCCATAACTTTAAGCCTGATGATGGCCAACTAGATGATGAAGAATAATTTGGCTTGCCATATAAGGATCAAAGAGCGATAATGAATTAATTTGGATATCAGGCCAATATAATTAGAGTTGGTTAGCCCAAAGTGGGAAGGACCATTGTAAATTTAGTTACAAACATCTTAATGTAACGAGACGAGTGCGCAATATATATATATACACACGTGTCCAGATACAGTCCAACATAACCAATTCCTGCACTGCCATAAACACTATAAATTTATCTTATCGACAACAATGCTGAATATTAACATGAGCTACTAGTATACAGAATATTTGTATAGATCGGTAGAAATAGAGAAAGTTTAACTTTTTTTTTGATTTATCCTTTTCTTGGAGGTCATTTGATTTTATTATTACTGCCTATGATCTATACCTATGGGTCATTTTTGGGTTTCTTTGTTGTACTTATAGCTCTTGAGAGTGTTGAAAGTATTATATTAGCTGTTTTGATTGCGTCTTTAGATCTGTTAATTGTGGTGTATAACTTTGGCACGTTTTATGACATCTGTATCCCAGGTTTTAACCTTCTCTATCTGATTTTGGCTCTTACCTTTCTTTCAGAGCTCAATTAATTCCTAGAAAATTTTTGGTTCCAATTTTCTTCTGTGATTGATATTCAATCCGTTCCTGGGATAGAACTCCTAGAATTTAGGTTAGTCACAACATCCATTCCTTCTAATCCGTGAGATAGTACAGGCTTCCAACTATCATTGTTGATTTTCTTTTGGTGACTACCGTTCTTAGTGTGTTATCGTCCTCAAGCATTAAATACTTTCCCTTATTCGTGGACCTGCTACATCTATTGTGGACTATTTTTGTCTCGGCTATTGTATTTTTAATAATGGGCTTTGAACTTACTCCGGAGCCTGGTTGAATTAGAAGCATAGTAATACATTATCTTTATATATTTAGCGCCTAATAGCAATAGTACTTTTATGTGGTTCACTGCTGTCCAGTTTAATACGAATCCCGACTTCTGCGGGTCAAGTAATCCGTAATTAAGAGAGGTAATTTTGTATCACATTTCTGTTGTAGATAGTGCTTCTCAAAAAATGAAAAAAGTGGAAAAATGAATAGAGCCCGAAGCTTAAGGACGAAACAGAAGCCGACCTTTTAAATCGATATGGTACTCACTCGGGGCAAGAGACGGACACTCGACAGCTCCATTAGCATGCTCTCCCTCACACAAGCAACATTTCTTTTCTCGACCTACAGCCTTGACACTGACAATATATCCTCCTTCCTCCCCTAATTTGAAAGAAGGGATACGCTGAGGGTTCTCAAAGCAAATTAGCCTCCTCCCTGTCTTTACATTTCTCACCATTTTCTGGCCCATCCAGTATCTCTCTTGAGGGAATTTCTTTTCCAAAAGTCGCTGTATCTCGATACAACCGTATGGTCCTAATTTCTCAACATAGAAGGTCCTTGGGCCTTCGCTTACATAGAAATGTATCTTTGTAGCAACATCCTCCTCCAATCCTAATTCTTTAGGGAATACAACTATTTTACCGTCATCCTGTTTCGCACTATCATGGTCTCGGTAGTGTATGAACCAATATTTTAAAGATATTTGTCCAATATCTTTTACCGCTTCCATAGTGACTGTTTGGAGACATATTGCCCCGAAGATTTCATCTGTCATTTTCTCACAAACTTCTTTTGGAATTCTTGTCACTAGGAAGGTACCATCCCCGAAAGCTGACATGCCTTTATCTTCAACTTTTCGAGTCTTAGCAGGCCTCATCTTTCGCGTCATCTTCCCCTCGGGTAGGTTTGTTAAAATCTTTCTTCCCGTCCTCGTCCTCGTCCTGGCTCTGGTCCTAGTTTTCTTTTCCTTTCCATTTTGTTTTTCCCCGAGTGAACTTTCTTTCTTCAATTGTTCCTCACCGAAGCCTCTATGTTGTCTACTAGGATAAATTTTAGTCTTGAATCTCTAGTGTGGCGTAACCAGTCAGTAAGAATTTTTGCCTTAGAATGATGAAAAGGCCTACATCATCAGATCCTCGACTTGTTAACGAAAGTAGTGCCATTCCATCCTCTCTCACGTTATCCAACGTTAGCCTTTCCAGATCCTCCTCTTCCTTGACAATTGCATGAAACGGTTCAAGGTAAAATGGGCCATTGGACATGATTGGAAGGTTCCTACTCGGCTCAAGCATATTCATCATGGACTCTGACGTTCTATTTTCATTGTTTGGCGGGAGGGTCTCCATATCATCTGATTCGGAAATCATTGCTAGTAGCTATGAGTAAAATATTGATAAGGTTGAATACCTTTATCTTTCTTATCAAATTGAACTAATTAGTGCGCGAGGGTGGACCAGGTGCAGGACTAGGACTTCATACCACTACTTCTACAAACGCAGATTTAAATTCATGGAGTTTGGAGTTTTCCCAAGAATTCACCAAGGTAGTTAGCTGGCTAAACCTTTGGTTTCAGTGATTTGAATGGCTACACCATCTCTAGAGAATTTGTTTCTAGTTGTAATGAGAAACTTATGTCTCACGTGACCTAGCGTACATATACGATGCTTGATCGTACCTTCACCATTCTATTTCTCCAGACATCTTAGAAAGAGATTTTTATATTCTTCATTCGGTTCGGGACCCCCAGTGTAAAACGACGCGCGTGGTGAATCTCTCCTAACGTTGGCAACCGAAAAAGGGATCCTTCTACTAAACAATTACGCAGAACCCTCTAACGATGCAGGCCCTATTCTCGACCTATGCTTCGTTAAAATGTGCTCCAAAGCCTCTTACAGAATTCGTTATGACTTCCGTGTCAGATTAGATAGAAGGACACTGATTTTCTAAATCCCAGATGGAGGTCCCAAGGTTCCTAACCCAGGCCGACTTCGGTAAACTGCCGCCGATTGACCTGCATTCAACACTATTTTGAGAGATCGGCTCAGAATTTCCAAAATATCTGACGTTAACGATGAAGACTTCTTTCTTGTAGATGTCATATCAAGGGCCTTGCAGGCGGTTTGCCCAAGGTATGGAAAACAAGGTAGCTGACCTTGTTTGTGGACTGAGGTTTGCGTAGAAGCTCACCGCAAGTCTTGTTGAACACTTTGGCAAGGCTTATATACTGTTAAAGAAAGTCGCGAATTTGCCAAAATTTTCGAGAAATCCAATTGAGATTACTGGCGTAATAAGATTGACTAGGTAGCGAGTCTCATAGGAGCATATAAATCACTAGGTGGCTCGAGAAACTAACAGCCAGCTCTATGCCCCCTCTCATCGAACCTCATGGCCCTATAGCTATTCCTGAAGCAAAGGCTTAGACTTTTTGACAGACCTTACTGAGTAGATTCTCGCCCCAAGATGACATTCCTATCTATGAACCAAGTGTTGCCAGGAAAGATCTCCCGTGGCCCCCAATCGCCGATGAAGAGATTTTTCGCGCATGCTGTCAGGTCTCGTCTACAACCCCAGGACCTGACGAAATAACCCCGAATTCTCTCCGTCAAGCATGGCTAATAATTGGCAATAGGGTGCTAACTTTCTTTCGCCTGTGCTAAAAGCTAGGAATACACCTGAAAGCCTTCAAGAAGCCTAAAGCGATGACATTTCTGAAATTAGGAGACCAAGATCTCACCCTCCTAAAGTCCTATAGACCGATCTCCCTCCTTTTATACTCAGGTTAAGGCTTGGAGCGACAAATAGCATGGCGACTTTTATTTACAACTCTTAAATATCAGGTCCTTGCTTAAGACCAATGCGATGTCAACTCTCTTCGCTCTACTTCTAACCTTACCGTTGCCCTTGCATGTGACATCAAGGCAGAATGGATGGAAAAGAATGTAGCTAGTATGGTGACTGTTGATGTCCAAGGGGCATTTGATGGTATCTAAAAAGGACTACTCTACCCTGGACTTCGCAGCAAAGGATGGCCATCGAACGTGGTTTGGTGGGTAGCATCATTCATGAAGCAACGAGAGTCTGTCACTTCTATTGAAGATACTAACTCTCCGCCCTTCGAAATTCATCGTGGTCTCGCACAGGGCTCGCCAGTATCCCAATTCTTTTTCTTCTGGCTATAGAAGAAAGACTTCGACTTTACATCAGTCGCTTTGGCCATGCTGACGAAATCGTCCTTTTCGCGTCCGCGATCTTCCTAGTCGCATGTGCATCTAAAATCTAAGCGGAATTAGATAGCACTATAGTATGGGGTCTGACTAACGGAATTAGTTTCTAACTTCCTAAGATTAAGCTACATGACTTTCACCGGATGCGAAGCTCACCACTAGAACCTGCTCAAAATATTGGAGGAATAACCATAAAGCCTAGTGATTGCACCTGTTGGCTTCTAATCTTTTTCGGCCGCACTCTCCGGCCCCAATATCAAATCCTACGGGCTTGCCAATAATCTCTAGATATTATGAGCCATTTGAAAAGACACTCGACGACCACTCGAGGAACTAGCCCTCTTTTTCTAAGACAAGCTCTACAAGGTGCCGCCTTTGCGATCCTTATCTACGGAGCCGAGACCTTGTACCCTAAAGAGACTTCTCAAAAGACCATCTCGCTCGAACTTTCTAATCGACTTTGAACTTGATCGTCGACTTTGTTTATTGGTCTGATATCACAGACACGGAAATAGATTCATGAGATTGCTTTATAGAGGCTAGGATTAATTCCGATATAATTTGGTTGTAGACTTGTCCTACAATTTAGAGGCCACAATGTCTTTATATATCTACGTATTTACCCCCATATTCACCATATCCGCTAGCCATTCTATATCTAGCGTGCATAGCCTCATTTATCTCATGGTTCTGGGATGGAGATGTAGTTTCCGAATAGCAGTATTCTTTTAGCTACTACAATACGTAGCAGCTTCAGATATAGTTTACCGTGCGATACTTCCACCTTAGCTACAAGCCTCCTTGATATACTGCCGGCTCGGTAATCAGTGAGATAACCGAAGCTAAACCTTAACAATAACCTTAATTACGGAACCATGAATACCTAAGACAGAAGCCTGCAATCTAACACAATTAGGTTAGGAATTGCCGACTACAACCTAATCCAAACACTCTCTGATGACAACATTCAACCACTATAATCGTCACCTAGTGAGAGAAAGCTGATCGTAATTAGGGCGGTAGATAGACTCTCGGGCTCAAATCCCCTCGAATAGTGGTAGGCTAAATGACTAATACTACGCTTGTTCATATTTTCATACGGAGCTCTCAAAGGGGGACGAGTAGGTGCGGGTTATATCATCTATCGAGGTCTCACGCAGGAGGTTGTGCGATGATTATCCCCGCTCGGAAACTCAGCAGAGGCCTATGATACTGAAATTTCTGGGGCCATACAAGGTCTAGCTTTAGTACAACGCAACCCACTGGCATTATTTTCCTCTAAAGTCACGGTTTGTCTTGATAACCAGGAGGTTGCGCCGGCAAAGACGAATTCCTCACTTTCCAATGGTGTCGGTGTTATCGCTCAGTAAGCTCTGCATATCCGGGATAGCCAAGAATAATCGCATCCGAATCGAAGTCGAAAGCAAACACAGCCATATCTCCAACTGAGGACTTCTCAATCATGCAGCACTTACTATTATCTTCTGAGTCCTCTACCTCTCTCTAACTACACATCATCTCACCTCAGCGACCGATAAAGGCGTCACCCCAATTGCAAACAGGAGCTTGCCTCATTCATTACCGGCAATTACTCACTACATATTTACGACGCTATTTATACCCGCAAGGAGGAAATCAAGTCGAAAAATACAAAGCCAGAGTCCTGGCTTACAGGGAACTATTGCTCTAATGGGGTCATACATCTTGAGAAAAGACAGGCGGCTAAGATGTGGAGTGAGAGAGGGACTAGGTCTCTGAAGACTATGCTGGGACTGTCATTTTTGAGAGATTTTTAACTGTGGAACGTTTGTGGGCGTCAAGACCGATATTTCGGCTAATTAGCCAGGAGTTCTTGTGTTGTCGATATGTCAATGGCACTCCCCAGAGACCTAGACGGTACAAAAGAATTTAAGCTAAGCTACTATACTGCAATCAGGCTCTATCAGGACTTTTTAGCACGACCTTCGGGAAGGAGTTGGAAGGAGGCTAGAAAGGCTGATGGAAAATTTCCCGATGTACCCACAAGTCTGCGGCGCCCAGCTGGCCGGCCTCTTCGAACGCTTCAGAAGGGTCACTACGTCTTAGGATCTAGTCTTAATGTTGGCGGTGGGAGAGCTCCGCACCCAGTGGCTTTTTGGGATTTTTCCCGGCTGCCATGCACTCACAAATGACCATCGTTTCTTTGGCTGGAGAATGGAGATAATGAAGGGCAAAGGGCTCCTCTAAGTGTATGATCGAATGAGGACCTGTGAGAGGCGGTACTGTTTGAGGGTGTAACGGATAGTGAGCCGATAAGGTCCCTGTAGCCTGTGCTATTCAGCACAGACATATTCATAGTGTCAGCGCTAAGTTACGCTCGTATTGAAAGTCGGAAACTGCCCATGATTGAGACGTTGGAAACTAGCCCACACCTGAATAATGGGGGCACGACTGAAGGACAGCTACTAGTGTTTGGAATATTGGAATCTTGTATATAAGGCATTAGATGTAGCATTACTTTTATTCTTCAGTTAATAAATAAACTTACCTTTCGACATACAAAAGCCCAAGCTTCATATATCGGAACCGTTACAGAGGTGAGCTGTATGGGAGGCATAGGCGGGGATATACAACTGGTATAGGTATCCTTGGCCTGTAGGCAGGGAGGACTTACATGTCCTACATAGTCATAGACTCGGACAGGACAAAAAAATGAATAAAAAAATGAGGAAGTCTCTCTCCGTCTTCTATGACGTGCTTACAGCGTCCAGCTCCATACTCAGCCCTTTGCGTTGTGAGGGTAAAGAGGGAAGTCGGAATCCAACACGAGACCTCCGTTGTGATCTATTGAACAGAAATCTCACCGTATAGATATAAAGAATTAGGTATTGATCCTAATACTAGGATCACTAGCGGACTTACCTGTCTAGGGCGATGCAGACTAGAATATCTATCATCTGCACGGTCTGGAAATGGCGATTTCGCAGACTATCACTAATGGTTTCACCACGAAAACGCCACCCTCACCTGCTCATGCGAAGAAGTCCCCCCACCACTATTTCCATTACCACCTTGGGCAGTATCAGGCACGGCTGCAGAGGGCACAAAATTTCATTTCGAGCATATCTTGGGCTCTTACTTCAGCGGAGGGAGTTCATGCATTT